AGATTTGCCCAATGCAATACATCGTTTGATTTCTTGACTGCTGCTTCCATGGGTGTTGATTGTGGATCCAAGTAAAATGAAATCCTTGAAAACTTTAATATTTTCTGTTTATCATGATGTTGCTTATTGGTCCAGTTGTGAAGATTGTTTTCTTATGTTAAGGGGTAATCCATACTGAAGGCTGGAGTCTTTGATCTTCATCAGTAAGTGTACTTTGCTTTCAGCAAGCAAGGTTGTGTCATCTGCGTATCACAGATTGTTAATGAGTCTTCCTCCAATCCTGATGCTGCGTTCTTCTTCATATAGTTCAGCTTTTTTATGTGTTCCAGTTCATTTTTGACGACTTCCAATTTTTCTAGATTCATAGTTCATACATTCCACTTCCGATTATTAATGGATGTTTGCAGCTGTTTCTTCTCATTTTGAGTCATGCCACATCAGCAAATGAAGGTCCTGAAAGCTCTACTCCATCCGTATCATTAAGGTCAACTCTACTTTGAGGAGGTAGCTCTTTCCAGTTGTATTTTGAGTGCCTTCCAACCTGAGGGGCTCATCTTCCAGCACTATTTATTCCAGACAATATTCTACTGCTATTCATAAGGTTTTCACTAGATAATTTTTTCAGAAGTAGACCACCAGGTCCTTCTTCCTAGTCTGTCCTAGCCAGGAAGCTCCGCTGAAACCTGTCCACCAAAGGTGACCCTGCTGGTATTTAAAATACTGGTGGCATGGTTTCCACCATCACAGCAACACACAAGCCACCACAGTATGACAAACTGACACAGTGGTGGCTTTTAGCTATGCTACAAACTAACCTTTAAAAGCAGCTATGTGACTATGCCCACTGAAACCAGAAAGGATGTTTTCATTATTCATTAACTTTCACTTAAAACTCATAAAACGATCAAAATAAAGAAACATCCTGTCTTTAAAACTAATGAATACTTCCTGTTTTCAAAACTTTAGGGGCCTTATAATCAAGACTCACTAATCTTGTGATTGTCTTGTAACTGTTTACCCAAGTTAGTAAATGTCAATCAATCAGAAATTTTATTCAAAAGTTTGTGATATCATTGTGTATAAACACTTTAAGAATCCTGATTAATTGGAGCACTCATTTACCAGGTAAATGATGTGCTGCCCAACTTTAAAATTGTCTATTAAACCTGCTTAGCAATCTATTCATGGTGTCCTGAGTGGCTTATTTTTTGACATAGGTGAAGAAGTCATTTCTGAAATTTTAAGAAGTTTAAGGTTCCTTAAAAAATGACAGGGAAGTGGAGCCATATTACCTAAGATCAAATGTTTTTCTTTTTTTCTAACAAGGAAATTCTTTATGTGTGTTGACAAGGAAGGACAGTCACGATATACTGCAAAGTGAAAATCAGAAGTTGTGGATCAGTATGTGTGAAGATTTAATTATCGAAAAAACCACTATATTTGCATATATAGATGGAAAAAGTCTGAATGAAGTATCATACCAGGTGAACGTCCTGTCCTTTTTTTCGTTTGTGCTGTCGTATGGTTGTACTAGATGCTGTACCATGCAGTACTATGTACTATGATACTATATTGTGTTAGACGTTAACATCAGGAGAAGCAGGGGGAAGGGTACACAGGACTCCCTGAACTATTTTTGCAACTTTTAAGTCCAAAATTATTTCAAAATGAAAAGTATTTAATAAGTCTGGCAATAGGCAAATGCCAGAAAGTGGATTAGTGGTTATAGGCACTGGCACAAGGGGGGTATGAGGAGTTATTGCTTAATGGGTACAGTTCTTGTTTGAAGTATTGAAACAATTTTGGAAATAAATAGTAGTGATGGTTGCACAACATTGTGAATATAATTAATGCCACTGAATAGTACACTTAAAAATTGTTAAAATGGTGAATTTCATTGCAAAAATGGTGCAGTGTGGGGACATCTGACCTCCTCTGACTTCACAAGGGGGAAGAGAATCAAGATCAACAGCCTAGGCTGATTCCATGAGGCAGAGGTCAGATGTACCTCCTCTCTCCAACCTTTTTATCAATTCTGACAGCTGTCCCTCCCAAGACACTCTCTACTTCTCTGATGGGTTCAATAATTTGTTGGAATGGCCACACAGAACTCACAGACAATACTTACAATTATGTGGTTTATTAGGGAAGTAATAGATTACAATTCAGGATAAGGAATGACTCAAGATACAGTTCTTCCGTCAGGACGGCCTCTTCTCAGCAGTACCGCAGGCAGGCTTCTCTCTGGCCCATGGCCCCTCAGCCTGGCCTCTGCCCTGCTTGGGCCAAGTGTTACAAAGCTCTTTAACTCTGCTAATCAGTACCTGGGGGTACCCCACTCCACCAGGGCACCTCAGTCCAAAGGCACTCAGCTCTCTTGCTCCACGGGTCAGCAAGCCTAACTCTGCCAGGAAGCCTCCTGCTCGAAGGCACTCAGCTCTCTCACTCCATGGGTCAGTATACCCACTGCGGCTGCCTTGCTCCATGGGCCAGGAAGCCCATCACACTGTCTTGTGCCGGTCTCCTGGTTCTGCTGTCACCGCTTCTCACCATCTCCAGTGTTACAGTGCTCTCTGTCTCCTGGGTCTAGGAGGTTCTCAGCGCAGGGACTCCAGGTCTAAAGGATGTGCTCCACTCCCGGCTGTTCTTGGTGGTAGTGAGGTCCCCACCTTTACACCTCTGGGATGGCTCATTTTAAGCCTAGTGGAATCGCAAAACTGACTAATCCCCTTGTTTGAGTTCCATACACCTTATTTGCATAATCATACACCCATAAGGGTGCCGTGCACCTTATTTGCATTATTAGCAAGCTATTCAATCCCCTTGATGGGCCACAAGCACCTTATTTGCATATCCCCACCCAATCATTTGGCAGGAGTTACAAGACCATGGTGAGAAAGACCGTATGAAAGCAGTCCATTGCACTGCACTTGTGTTATGTATATTTCACCACAATAATAAAAAAAGAAAAAAAGTCTGGAAAGGTAACCACAACAGTATTCATCTATGTACCACCCAAGGATGTGTCCTCTGCTTACAAATACTAATACATTTAACCCACATGAGAGCTCTAGGGCATGCTTTCTCATCCTCGGCACTATTAACTTTTGGAGCCAGACAATTTCTGTGTGGTGGGGGCTATACTATGCATTGCAGGATGTTTAGCAGTGTCTCTGGCCTCAACCCACTCAATGCCAACAGCACCCCCTTGCAGTTGTAAAAACCAAAAATGTCTGCAGACATTGCCAAATGTCCCCTGGGGGCAAGACCACCCCCCTCTGAGAACTTCTGCTCTAAAAGGGTAACCGGTTAGTCCAGATGTCATCCGGTCAACTCTCAACTCTGACTCACCACCCCACATTCATGCGTCAGAGTAGAACTGTGCTCCATAGTTTTCAATGGCTGATTTTTTGGAAGTAGATCACCAGACCTTTCTTCCGAGGCACTTCTGGGTGAACTGGAACCACCAACCTTTCAGTTAGCAACCAAGCATGTTAATTGCCTGCACCATCCAAAAAAAAAAAAAGGGTAGGTGCTTTCATTATCCCTAATTTACAGAAGGGGAGACTGAGGTACAGAGAGGTTGAGTAACTCATCTGCAATCACACAGTGAGCCAGAGAGCTGGGATTATGAACCCAGGACTTTGGTTCCTGAGTCAAAGACTTAGCCATAAGCCAGATGGCCCTGAAGCCCATCAAGCTCTATTTAATAGTCATCCTTGTGAGATGCACCCTTACCCCACAGTCTGGGGGCCTCCCCTGGGCTGTTGGACCCCACCAGATGTGGGGCTGCAGTCCCAGAAAGCTTTCACTTTTCACTTATGTACTTCTTCAAGGTTTATGTTTTTCTTATCAGCATGTATTAAATCATTTGCTTTTTTAAAGGAGCATGATGTGGTCATGCAAGTATTTCTGCAATCAATTAGCCCACGTCTATTAGTAGAAGCTTCAATGTACAAATACCTGATGTGCCTGAGGTATGTGGCTTCTTCCTCTTACTCATTTTATCCCTCCCTTGAGAAATCTGAAAACAACAAACAAAAGCCTCCCATTATTCCGAGCAGTCCCTGTCCTCCTCTGTACACAGGGGCCCTAGCTGAGGGCAGAAGCCAGCCCTATCTCAGAGTATCACACACAGAGTAGAAGACACAGCCTTATCCCTCGGCCACGCAGCAGGGTGGGGACTGCCATCTTCTGCCCAGCAGCAGGCAGGGTCTGAGAAACACATAGAGGGTGCCATCTTCGGGAAGCCCTGGGCACCCTGGCCCTAGTTTCCCCCTTAACGGGCTACCATGGGACTTTTGAGGGGGCAGCTGGGGCTCTTCCGGGGATATCAGAGGACTTTCAAGAGGACACCTGAGGTTCTTTCTGGGACATCTAGAGGCTTTTCAGGGGAGACCTGGGGCCCTTCAGGGGTCGCTGGAGCCCTTGGAGGGGCCGGCGACCCCTACAGTACGGTCTCTTCCAGACTTAGGAGCCAGAAAAGCCATAAACCGACCTGGGCTAGAGAAGTTGTGGAACTCCCTCTTTCCTTTATCGGGAACTAGGTCTGTCTGGATCTGTTGGGGATAAATCAGTCAAATTATCTGCGTTAACATATTTTCGAGAAAATAAAAGGCAAAGTTGGCCCTCAGGGGGGCCACTCCCGCAGATGTCGGGAGCTGAAGAACCGCGGGCCAAGGCCTAGGAGGGAGGACCCTCCGATCCAATGACCAGTCTCGCACTAACCCTGCCCCAGGACGGGACCCCAGGTGAGGCCGGAGTCCGCAGGAGACCGCAAGACGCGGGGTACAACCGGCCGCCACAGACCCTCACACCAAAGCACGCTTCGCCTCTTTCCCGCTCAGCGGCAGGAGCCGCCTACGCACGCGCAATACCGTTCCGTCCCCTCACTTGCGTACACCCCGCCTCTTTCTCGCGCAGCCCCGCCGCCCAATCTGCGCATGCGCTCCTGCGCGCTGCCTGCCGGGAGTTGTAGTTCGGCGCGGCGGGCAGGGTGAGTCCAGTAGTAGAGCTCCGGTGCCGCGGCGCTGGAGGGCCGAGGCGGAAGTGGGGCGGCCGCACCGGGAGGCGAGAGCGCGGGGTCAGTGATCGTGGGGTGACGAGGGAGGAGCGCGGAGCTCCGGGAAGGGTGTGTGCGTGGGGACAGACTCTCGGGGGAGAAGGCAGGGCAAGGCCGGACGCGGGGGCCGGTGGTCCAGGCATCCAGCCTAGAAGATGCACAAGAGGAAGGGACCCCCAGGCCGAGGCGCCGCCGCCGCCCGCCAGGTGAGTCTGCGCCCTACGGCCCCGCCGGGGGACCCTCCCGAACCCCGTCACACGCTCAGGGGAGGACCCCACCCCCACGGAGTCGGATTCCCGCCCCCTAGGCGAACCGCATCCCCGTCCCCCAGGTGAGGCTGGGCACCCCTCATCCCCAAAGTGAGGCCTCCTGGCAGGGACCTCCCATCTATGCCGCCCCACCCCCACCCCCGCTCTGGGGCCACCTGTTGCTGCAGCAGCTCCAGTTGGGAAGGGGCATGCGTCGGACCTGGGGTAATAAGGACAGTAACTGCTCCCCCTCGGCCTGTGTACGCCTGGAACTCTCGCATCAGCCCAGCCAGGTCACAACTCTTTTTATCCCCGTTGTACAGATGAGGACACTGAGGCCCAGAGAGGTGTCTGGGACTTGTCCAAGGTCACAGGGATTAACAGTTTGGCCAGAGCTAAGTGCAAATCCTGAGCTGCTGCCCTAGTCTCCCTCCCTCATCTTCTTGTCCCAAGCACCCACAGAGTTCGATTTTTCTCATCTTTGATGGAGGGAGCCCGGGGCATGGCTAAGTACCTAGGCTTTAGGGGCAGGTATTCCTGAATTTCACCCCGGCCTCTGCACACTAGATGTGTCTTCACAGCTGTGCGCTTCAGTTTTCTCATCTGTGAAATGGAAGTCCTAAGAGTTCCTATGTCATAGGACAGTTGTGAAGATTCATTGAGATAATTTATGGAAAGTGGTAGAACATAGCGCTCAGTGAATGTCATCATCATTATTACTGTTAGCTGCTGGTTGAGTTGGCCCCTCACTCATGGTGACCCCATGTACAAGGGAACAAAATGCTGCCCGGTCTGCGCCATCCCCATGATTGGTTGTGGATTGGAACGTTGTGATCCATAGGGTTTTCACTGGCTGATTTTTGGAAGTAAATTGCCAGGCCTTTCCTCCTAGTGTGGAAGCCCTGCTGAAACCTGTTCAGCATCCTAGTAACACACAGGCCTCCACTAACAGACGGTTTGTGGCTGTGCATGAGGTACGTTAGCTGGGAATCGAACCTGGTCTCCTGCGTGGAGGGCAAGGATTCTACCACTGAACCACTACTGCCTCATTATTACTATTAAACCCCCCAAAAACCAATCCCATTGCTGTCGAGTCCATTCCGACTCATAGTCACCCTGCAAGACAGAGTAGAACTGCCCCATAGAGCTTCCAAGGAGCAGGTGGTGGATTTGAACTGCCGACCTTTTGGTTAGGAGCCGAGCTCTTAACCACTATACCACCGGAGCTCTGCAGCCATATGTACTTGCTGATACTTGGCCATTCTTGATCAAAGGGCAATTTCTTTTTTTTTTTGTTTTCATTCGTGTCGTATTTTATTTTTTGTTCATTATTTTTATTGTTGAGAATATACACAGAACATACACCAATTCAACAATTTCTACGTGTGCAATTCAGCGACATTGATTACATTCAAGTTGTGCAACTATTCTCACTCTCCTTTTCCAAGTTATTCCTTCCCCATTAACCTAAACTCACTGCCCCTCAGTTTCCTATCTAGTCCTTCCAGTTCCAGTTGTCAGTTTCATCCCATATAGATAAATCTTCAAACCAAAGAGCAATTTCATATAATTCAGCCTGATATTATCACATCTTCATAGATCATTTACTAGAAAATGGAAGATGGGTCTGTTACACAGCAAAGTCCCTGCTTTAAACTTATACATTGTTAAGGTTTCCGATTGCTCTTGATGGCTCACACCTCCCAGCCCGGCCCCCTCTGCTGAGGGTGTTGGAAGGAGAAGCTCATTGGTGTGTAGGGTGGCTTTGCCTTGGGCAGAATGTAGGGCCTGCTTTTCCCACTGAACATGACTAGCAGCGTGTCACAGGCGTGAGCCCTAGCGGGGAGCTGGGTCTCTCTGTCTGCCCTTTGCCCCATGGTGATCTGTGCCAGAGGGCCTGGCCTGTTGCAGGACACCTGCTTCATTCTGGCTTTCCCCAGGAGGCCTGGGCTTCTTTCCTCCTGAGGGGACTATGGGCTCATCATGGCTGCCTCTGGCCAAGTAGGGTCCATCCCAAGGTCTGACAAGTCCATCCCAAGGTCTGATGGGACCCTCACTGTTCCTGCAGCTAGGCCTGCTGGTTGACCTTTCCCCAGACGGCCTGATGATCCCCGAGGATAGAGTTAATGATGAGGAACTGGAGGCCGAGTTCTTGGCCTTTGTCGGGGGCCAGCCCCCAGCCCTGGAGAAGCTGAAAGGCAAAGGTGAGATGCTCCCGTACACCCCGAACATTTTCTAAGCTCCCGCTGTGGGCTAGCTTGTAACTGGGTGCTTGGGAGACGCAGGAGGAAGACAGAGAAGGCCCCTACCCTACTGGAGCCCACAGTCTGGGTAAGAGGTTAAGCAGTTGACTTGGGACTGGAATGAGGGTTTGAATCCCAGCTCCACCACTTCCTGGCTGTGTGACTTGGCGAGTCACATCACTTGCATAGGCCTTGATGCTCTGGCTGTAAAATGGAGTAATAAGTGCGCTTACATCACAGGAGTCAACCTTCCAGTGTTTTGTAAAGCACTTCTCACAGGGCTGGCACATCATAAGCAAATGTCATCAGTCCGAACCTCCGAGCTGCTGTCCTGTGATCAGGGCTGGGATTAGGGAGCCTGGAACCCTAAGGGAGACCTGTGAGTCGGGTGGGACACTGGGGGAGGCACGCACGATGGGGAGGGCAGGTGATGAATTGGGAGCTCTTCCAGGAGGGGTTACAGCAGGTGTAAAGGCCTGGGGGTAGAGGGGGACATGGCAGGGGTCAGGGGACACTACAGCAGTCTAATGGGGCTGGAGCCTGGAAGACAGGAGCCTTTAAACGCTTCAGCTCCACCCTGTGCTGTCCTAAGAGCTTTATGTACTTTAGGCTCCACGACCTACCTGTGAGGGAGGAACTTATTATCCCCATCTAACAGATGGGGAGACTGAGGCCCAGAGAGGTGAAATAACTTGTCAGGGTCCTACAGCTAGAAAATTGCAGAGCCAGGGTTCAAACTCAAGTATCCTGGCCCCGGAACTGAGGCTTTATAAAGAAGAGATAAGGCTTTCGAGGTGAGCGGGAGTGGGTAATGCAGAGGTAACAGTGGGGCGCCATCAAAGGGCAGGAAAGGGGACATGCTGCCCCGATTGTCTGCTGCCCTGTTCTGCGGGCTGTGGGTGACTGGGATGGAAGGTGGGGGCTCCAGAGGGATCTGACCCAGCTGGGGCCTCCTCTGCCTCCAGGGCCCCTGCCCATGGAGGCCATTGAGAAGATGGCCAGCCTGTGCATGAGAGACTTGGATGAGGAGGAGGGGGAGGGGACTGATGAGGATGATGTCGAGGCTGATGACAACCTGCTGGTAAGCGGCTGGGCAGATTGGGGGCTTCCCCTTCCCCTTCCCGTGCCCTGTCCAGCAGTTTCTCACGCTCCCACCATGGTGTGTCCCTCCAGGCGGAACTAAACGAGGTCCTTGGAGAGGAGCAAAAGGCTTTGGAGTCCCAGCCTCCTTTGGCCCAGGTACATCTCTGACAACCCTGCCCCTTTGAACCAGATCCTGCCGATGGACTGGAGTTCAAGGCCTGTCCTTGCCTCTCCCAGCCATGTGACCTCTGAGCCTCAGTTCCCTCTGCCAGGAAATAAGGTTGATGATTTCTCTCCTGCCAGGGTTGGGAGGCATGGCCCAGGATGGAAATGCATAGAACTGTTGCTCTGTTAGTGCGTGACAGGGCCGGTGAGGGTGGCCCGAGTGGGGTCACACCCAGGCCGTGCCTGTTTCCTCTCATAGCCAAGGCCCACAGCCCCCAGCCCAGGGGTGGAGTCCACCCTGCAGGAGAGGCTGGCCCTCTACCAGACAGCAATTGAAAGCGCTCGGCAAGCTGGAGATGGCGCCAAGATGCGGCGCTATGACCGGGGCCTTAAGGTGAGTGGGCAGAGGGATGGGTGCCAGGACCCCACGCCCAGCCCTGCGCCCAGCTCCGAGCTTCTCCAACACCCATGCTCATGCCTTCTCCAGACGCTCGAAAATCTGCTGGCCTCCGTCCGGAAGGGCAACACCATCGATGAAGGGGATATCCCACCACCTGTGGCTGTGGGCAGAAGCCTGGCAGCCACGCCCAGCCACACCGCTGTGCCCACCCAGCCAGTCCCTACAAACCCGTCTGCCCCGGAGCCCAGGTTGCCCATGCAGGGTCCTCCTCCCACTGCCCCAGCTTCATCCCCGGACTCAGCTAAGCCCCAGCTGCCCCCAGGTAGGCTGTGGGGCAGGGCTGGGCTAGCAGTGGGGTTGGGATGGGGTATTCAGCTGGTAGGCCCCTCTGTGGGCATACAGCTGTGGACTAGCTGTTAAATATTTAAATACCCGCTAGGTCCTCATGCCCCTAGACTTCCTGTAGCCTCTCTAAGAGGTATGTGCCATATAGAGGTTTTTTTTTTTTAAAGTAGTATTTTTTTGTGTTTTCAGTGAAAGTTTACACAGCAAATTAGGTTCCTATTTGAC